CATAGGCGATCGTTCAGTCTCTATAACCGGAGGTCTAGTGGAGCCAGACGTAGTCTCAGTGGAACAACCGACGGTATAGAGACTGAAGCTTTCGGTCTAAGCCAGACTATACACTCAGCTCAGCAGCATTCTTCCAGATTTGTGGGTAAAGGTAAAATAAAATACCCAAACAAATTACGAGTTACACTGCAGTGGCGGATCCAGGGGGGGGGGGCCGAAACGGCCGCGGCCCCCCCTATTGGCGGCTCAAAAAAAGGAAGAAAAAAAAAAGAGGAAGAAAAGAAGAGAAAAGAAGAGAAAAAGGAAGAATCTGATTGTTATTATACTGATTTAGAAAGAGATATTTCTTACCCATGAAAATAGTCTGCTTTATTCTTCTTCTTAAACGAAGTGGCTTTACATTGTACGCTTTCTTTTGAGGCTTTTACCAAATTTCTGGAGTACAGTGAGTTATTTTCTCTAGTTTGGAAAATATTTGACTTTTAAATTTTGATTAAGCATTGTGGTCTTGAATTGCAGTTGAGATAATATTTGAAATTTGAACTTTTTTTTAGTTCAGCAAATTTTGTCGAAATCGAAATCTAAAATTAGTTGGCGCCTCCAAGTTGATGAATGCAACTACTTTTCTGTAACTTAGCGTGAACAGTTACATTTGTCAATAAGTTCAAAATTTTGTTTAGACCAAAATCTGAAATGAATGGTGGATCGCAACTAGAATGACCACGGGTACTGTCCATTAAAACGAACAGTTTTTAATAAGTTTAACATGAACATACAAATTATTTGATTGTAAAGATTGTTTGTTTAAACTATTTAAAGTATAAACTGCACATCACCTTTTATATGAAGGTTGGATTGCAACCAGAATGAAGAATGGCCACAGGTAACGTGCATTAAAACAAAAAGTTCTTGATATGGCACATCAAAATACAAATTATTTGATTATAATGTTTGTATGCTTGCCTGCTAAATATACAATCAGTGACGTATCTCCAGGGTAGGGTTACGCCCAGGGCTTCACCCGAAGGGGTGCAAGACTTAATAAGGGGGAGGGATGCAAAAGAGAGGAAGATAAATGAAATGGAAAGAAAAATTATGATCCATGGTGATTTTTAAAATCAGTTTTTTTTCAGGGTTTAATATGCCAAAATTTACTTTCAAAAATCGCATATTTACAACTCAAGATTTATGCAAATTAAATGCCTATTTTTACATGTATATTTAGTATTCAATTTTAAAATGAGCTATGAAGGTCAATCTTTTCAAAGACAAAGTTTCTGAGTAGCATAGTCGACAATATTGAATTGAACAAAATTCAAATTTCATTTCAATTCTTGTGTACTTTATTGTTTTATTAATTCCTATGTATTCTATTGTTTGTATTTCTTATGCAGTACTTCTTATGTTTATGATTTGTTATGTTTCAGATTTGTATCTTGATAAATTAAAAAAGTACACGATCTATAGGACAAGACCTAAAAGACACAGTTGGAAGTCTAATAGAGCATTTCGGAGGGGGGGGGGGTGTATTTTGTAAAAGACTAACTGAGGGTTTGCGTCATAACACCATGTACAATAACCGCGCCTTTCTTCACACGTTGAATGGTGAAAAAACCAAGTTACATGATAATATAGACATCTGGGTGTGAACCCTTTGTTGTTGGAAGGCCATCAATCCATTGTGCGTGAACGTGGGAAGAAAAACACAGAAAAAAGCAACCCACAAGTACGTAACTAGAATTTTAGTGTGTGTCGGAGGGGGGGGGGGGGGTAGCCAGCATTATATGGGGTTGAAAAAATGACTTAATATGCATGCATGCATGTAGCCGAGTCCGAGTGCCTGCGGGTTTGCGTCATAACACCATGTACAATAACCGCGTCCCTTCACACGTTCAATGGTGGAAAAACAAAAATACACGATAATATTTACATCTGGGTGTGAACCCTTTGTTGCTGAAAGGCCATCAATCCATTGTGCGTTAACGTGGGAAGAAAACTACAGAAAAAGAAACCTGCATGAACTTTTTGTTTCATTGTCTCTGACAAAAGTGAGCAAATATACTTAGTCATATCTGCATTTCAGTCAGAATTTCTACTCAATATTTTTCTCTCATGTTGGCTATTAAACGGACGAGGGAGTTTCAATCTTGGGAAAGGCCATTTTTCTTTCTTTTTTTCTTCTTCTAATTAGAATTTGCAAATCACTTTTAGTTTCAGTAAAACGTTTTCTTTTCCCGGCTGATTATTAAATCCAATTACTTTTCTATAACGAAATGCACAGAAGAAAAACAATGCAAAAAAAAATAATTACAATAAACAAATCAAACAAGGTGTATATAAGATTGAAACTCCCTTGTCCGTCTACTATTTTCTACTATTTTCCTCCATTTTTTTCCTCTCTGTTATTTCTCTCTCTCCCCCCCCCCATTAAAAAAAAAATCTATAATTTCTCAGCTTCATATTTTTTCTTTTTATTAATTTTCTTAGCATAATTTGTTCATGTTATATTGTAAAGCAGCATCTGAGGAACTAACACTTCAGTGGCGGATCCAGGGGGGGGGGCGAAACGGCCGCGGCCCCCCTATTGGCGGCTCAAAAAAAGGAGGAAAAAAAAGAGGAAGAAAAGAAGAGAAAAGAAAGGAGAAGAGAAAGGAAAAAAGAAGAGAAAAGAAAAGAGAAGAGAAAAGATAAAGAAAAAGCCCCCCCCCCCACCCCCTCCCTCCAACTCCGGGGTCGGAGGGACCCAATTTGTGTTCCCTAAATTTCCGATTAAGAGTTACTTTTCACGAAACAAAGTCCGGCCCGCAATACACAAAAATCCGGCCCGTACTGACTTTACACACCGGAGATAGAGGGGTGCCCTCAAAGAGAGGAAACATACGTGTGCGTACCCTAGATAACACTTAGTGGTGGGGGGGGGGGGGGTGGGGGAAAGAAAAGTCGGTGAGAAAGGGGGAAAGACAAGGAAATGGCGCTAAGTGACAGTAACGACAAATATGGGGAAACTGTAATCGGGAGATTAGGGGTCATTCCAGAAGGCTTGGCAAACGTTATTGAATAGAGGGAGGCCGGGCCGGCCTCATAAAATCTCGAGCCGCGGATTCAAAGTTAAACGTTAAGAACAGCCCCTGCGGTCATCACTCTTTAGTGATAAATTTGAAAAGGGCACAATATTTTGGATGTCTTTTAAATAGAAGTTATATACTCAACAGTCAAATTTTAAATTAACGGTAGGGCCGCCTCACAACTCTTATTTTGCCCTTCATTTGGATTCAGCTCATATCGACTCGCTTGTGCTTGTATTTGAACTCATGTTGGTAGTAATCATGGACAGGGGCTGCAATCCTGTGCCCGATATGGGGAAACGTCTCCCAGGAAATTTAGAAATATAGCTAGAAAGAAATATAGCGTAAAGAACGTATATATTGGGCTTAGGGATTTTGTAGAATGCATAATTTCAGCATTCAACATTGCGAAATCTCGCTTGGTCGCTACGCCCAGGCCCCGGCTCTCGCCCGATAACACAAAACTATGACGCTCCCGGCCGTGATTTATCAATGGTTGGTGTAATAGATCTTTTTTCCCAGTTTCATTTCTACTAACCTAATTTAATGTAACGTCAACGTTTCCGCGCTTCGCGTGGGAGGGGTAAAACTGAATTCAAACAAGGATTAAGAGACGAGAATGGTAAAACGATTCGTCTTCTTCCTCTAATAATTTAATGGACCGTCAAAGCTTACGCGCTACGCGCGGGCAAGTGAAAACTTAATTCAGACAAGGATTAAGAGTCGAGAATGGTACAAAGAATGGTCTCCTTTCCCTTATAATTTAATGAAACGTCAAAGCTTCCGCGCTTCGCGCGGTAGGGGGGGGGGGGGGGGGGGGGGGAACTCAATTCAGACAAGGATTAAGAGTCGAGAACGGTACAACGAATCATCTTCTTTCTCTAATAATTTAATGAAACGTCAAAGCTTCCGCGCTTCGCGGCAGGAGGGGGGGGGGGGGGGACTCAATTCAGACAAGGATAAAGAGTCGATGACGGTACAACGAATCATCTTCTTTCTCTAATAATTTAATGAAACGTCAACGTTTCCGCGCTTCGCGTGACTGGGAAGAAAAAACTGAATTTAAACAAGGATTAAGAGTCGAGAACGGTACAACGAAACGTCTTCTTTCTCTAATAATTTAATGAAACGTCAAAGCTTCCGCGCTTCGCGCGGGAGGGTGGGGGGGGGGGGAACTCAATTCAGACAAGGATAAAGAGTCGATGACGGTACAACGAATCATCTTCTTTCTCTAATAATTTCATTAAACTATGAAAGGCCAAAGCTTCCGTGCTTCGCGCAGGTGAATTCAGTCAAGTTACAAGAGTCGAGAATGGTACAACAAATCGTCTTCTTTCTCTAATAATTTCATTAAACTATATATAAAAGGTCAAAGCTTCCGCGCTTTGCGCCGGAGGGGGAAAACTGAATTCAGACAAGGAATACGAGTCGAGAATGGTACAACAAATCGTCTTCTTTCTCTAATAATTAATGAAAGGTCAAAGCTTCCGCGCTTCGCGCGTAATGGGGGGGGGGGGGGGGGGGGGAGAAGACAGCGAGCTACCCGAATGTGAGTTTTTTTAATATCTTTTCTCGTTTATTTTGGTGATAAATAACACTTTCACAAAATACATATTATGCCCAAATTGTTGCTCGCTCGCTTCGCTCACTATAGCCGAATTGTGAAACCAGAAAATTACTTTTTCGGATAAGAGGCTATAGCCCCCCCCCCCCCCCCCGATGAAAATGTCAAAAATTGTACCGGTATTGTGCTTCTAATATGACCTTGAAAAAACGGTCGGCGCAATTTTCAAATTTCCGGCCCCCCCTATTGGAAAATCCTGGATCCGCGTCTGCACTGTACGAGAATGGGTCAACAATAAAGAGCAAATTGCCTTATATATAGAAGGAATTGACAAATGTTAGTTATAAGTAGAAAGATATCCCCAAACTTACCAGATGGTTATTTTCTGTGACTATGTCGTGGTTTAGAAAACACTCGTTCATCCGATATCCGCATACACAAGCTAGTTAAGCGCTACTATACTGCTACTACTAGGCTAGACCGAAAGCTTCAGTCTCTCTAATCGTCGGTTGTTCCACTGAGACTACGTCTGGCTCCACTAGACCTCCGATTATAGAGACTGAAGTCTGGGGACCTCTTTCTGTGAGGCACTGTACGGAACAAATGGTTCGGTTCGACCGGACCGCGATGAATGAGATATGCAACGAGATTTTCACTCTTTACATCCTCATACATGCTGCAATATGACAATAATTTAGAGTCTAATTAAAAATAACATATATATAGCTTATTTGACTTACGATAGCTTGCTCATTTAGATCCTAAATTAATGATTAATCCGAGAAAGTCTCGTCATCAACATTATCCGTCTTGGTTTTAGTTGATGAATATTCATTTTTTCTTTTCGAACGTCCAATAGCTACCGTAGCTACGTACGAGTCGGCCCAGCTTGGCCAACGAACTCCCACGAAACGAGTGCTCTGATTGGCCATTTGGCTATGTTTTGGTAGGTGGACCCGGAAATATATCGGCCGCCGGGTAATATTTCGAATGCATGAACGTACCGTTTCACAGTTCGGAAATACAAATTGGATAATTCATATAAGTAAGTCCGTAAATTATACATTTAATATTAAGTTATCAAATTTTGATAACTGTAATTAGGACAAACGACATACCGACCTAATTTACATCTGATTTAGAAATCAGAAAATTAGATCTAAATAAAGAAAATCGGGGAGAAAATGTTTTGACACAAAAAGCTGCCATTGTTGGCTATAGCTACCCCCACGGTACGAGATCTCTGGGTTGCCATCTGTATTGGGGAATGACAACAAATGTCAGTTTTATTAAAGAAATGACCCAAATCAGATGGTTATTGCTGTCTACTACTAGGTAGCGTCTGTGGAGTGGCATGGTGGCCGTGCAGTGGGAAGAAGGAAACTGTACTGTGCGGATTGGATCGGAGCGAATGGTGGTTTCCTTTTCACGAAAGTGTCATTTCTGTCTACACTACAGCATTAACAGCTTGGATGATGAAAATCAAGATTCTACGTCAATAGTTAGAAATTAGCTGAAAATACGACGCAATAACTGCGACATCGGGATCGTTACGCACCGTAATGCCACTGCTGTATTCTCTATGGAGTCGGGCTAACTCGGCCCACGGGACTACTCGGCCCAGCTGGAAAAACTGGGCCGAGATGTCCCGACCTGATTAATCGATCGAGAGATACCAATGTGTATATGTTTGTGCTCTTTGTGACTTAATAATGCCCTTTCCAACCTAAATCTTTAATGGAATTGTGTTAAATGATACCAATGAAGACAATCTATAACTTATCTTTAGGTAAAATGACAAAAAAAAATGACATTTCGGACAATTTACTCACAGCTCGCAATCCGCATTGCCGCACGTACATTAAATGTGCGTTGTATCTACTCGGACCACTGAAATTCGAGCAGTGTTTTTGTCGGTAAATCACTGCAAAAATATCATTTTTATCTCGTATGAAGGTCTATTTTTTATTCCTGACACAGATTTCATTATTGAGAAGTCGAATATAGTACATTTTAGACGAGATGGTTGATGTTTGTTCACATTCTTTCGTCCTGGCCGTAAATTAGCAGACTACTGCCTAGTGCTACCGCAGCAGCTCAGCTCAGTGTGCAGCTAGCCGTACAGCGCCGCCGGCCGGGTCGGCGGGGGAATTCACTGACTCGTGCCGGGCTGCTGCACTGCATTGCATGATTGTACTGCCCAATTTGATCGAGTGATGTGTGAGTATAACTAATCAAACTAGATCTATATCTACTGTATTATCATTATTCATTCCGAGTAGAATATCCAATTTGATTTAGTGAGTAAACTAGACCTAGATCTATATCTACTGTAGCTACTTCATTATCATATACTAGATTAGTCATTCAGAGTAGAATATTCGATTAATGAAGGAATGGAATTTTTCTTTTTCATAATCAGATAATCATATTTTACTCCTAAAAGTTAAAGACTTGATAAATAGCTAGATCTCTCGTAAGGGCCTAGCCTAGTACTGTAAGAGAAGTGAGCTGAAGAATCGCCTTCTTTTTTTTATTTTGGAGGGGCAGGCGCGTAGCCAGGGAGGGGGGGGGGCAGTGGGGGCGGTCGCCCCCCCCCAAAAAAAAAATAAAGAAAAAGGAAGAGGACGTAGGAAGAAAAAGGATTAAGAGTCGAGAACGCTACAACGAATCGTCTTCTTTCTCTAATTAATTAATGAAACATTAAAGCTTCCGCGTGGGAAGGGGGGACGGAACTGAATTCAGATAAGGATAAAGAGTCGAGAACGGTACAACGAATCGGGGTCCAGACAACTCGCCACAATACCCTGAACAACTCGCCACAGCCTTTTCGGACAACTCGCCACACTTTTTCCCATCATGCAGGATTTCTAGATCTAAAATGAAATGAAATTGTAATTTTTCATGATTTTCGTGCTTTTATAAACACAGTCATTACAAAGAATAAAGTTGATTTCCCTTGTAACAATAATATATATTGAAATGAAATTGTCATTTTTCATGATTTTCGTGCTTTTATAAACACGGTCATTACAAAGAATAAAGTTGATTTCCCTTGTAACAAATATACTTTTGATCTAGAGGATACTGGAAGCACTGGCGTACTGATAGGGGGGGGGGGGGGGGTGGGGTGGGCAGTTGACCCGCGAAATAAAATTGGAATGTGGTTTATTTCTAGATTTTCTGGGTTAGTATTGTCAGAGGCGGCATTCTTGGTTGGGGGGGGGGACACTGTGCCCCCACTTTTCCAGGTTCCCCTAAAGTGCCCCCTTATCCTTTGTACATGTCCTTTTCCCTTCTGATAATTTATAATAGTAGGAATTCATGGAAGGATAGGCCTACTGGAAGCACTGGCGTACTGATGGGGAAGGGGGCAGTTGACCCGGGAAATAAAATTGAAATTTGGTTTATTTCTAGATTTTCTGGGTTAGTTTCGCACTTTTGCCCACAGTCAGAGGCGGCATTCTTGGTTAGAGGGGGGGGGGGGGGGGCACTGTGCCTCCACTTTTTCAGGTTCCCCTAAAGTGCCTCCTTATCATTTTGTACATGTCCTTTTCCCTTCTGATAAGTGCCTACTTTTCTTTCTCAGATGTTTTAAATTTAATGTTACTCATAATTACATAAAAGAACTTTTCAGTCTTTCTTCATTAAATTGTCTTTAATATTTATCATGTAATTTTTCAAATGGGACCTTACACTTTTAGCTCGCTTGCTCGAAAATCGATATTCAGTCCATCACACCAAATCGCGAAGTATGTTGCTTAAACAATAATGTTGTTCCACGTAAAGAAATGAACAAATATTGATGTCATTCGTGGTATGGTATTCACAATCTTGACGAAGGCGTAGGCCTTTATACAAATATCTAAAAATGGTTTTTATTATTGTTGATGTGTCCCTTTGTAGGTGCCCCTTTTTCAGAAATCCAGCCATTCTTGCGATCAGAAGTGGGGGCAGGGGACTCGCCCTCCTCCCAACGAAAAAGTGTGTGTGTGTGTGGGGGGGGGGGCGGTGGTCAAAACGAATTTCCACTCCCCCCCCCCAAAAAAAAAAAAAAAAAAAAAAAAAAAAAAATCAGCAATAAAGCAGTATAATTGATTACTATTTAGTAACCAAAAAGAACATACAAAAATAATAAAACCTAAATTGAATCAAATTAAAATGATATTCCATTCAAAGAATTAAATTTCATAATTAAATTTCAATTTACATGACATGGGGTGGAGATGATGAGAGGGATGGAGATGATGAGAGGGATGGAGACGGTGTGAGGGATGGAGATGATGAGAGGGATGGAGATGGTGAGAGGGATGGAGATAATGAGAGGGATGGAGATGATGAGAGGGATGGAGATGATGAGAGGGATGAAGATGATGAGAGGGATGAAGATGATGAGAGGGATGGAGATGGTGAGAGGGATGGAGATGGTGAGAGGGATGGAGATAATGAGAGGGATGGAGATGATGAGAGGGATGAAGATGATGAGAGGGATGGAGATGATGAGAGGGATGGAGATGGTGAGAGGGATGGAGATAATGAGAGGGATGGAGATGATGAGAGGGATGGAGATGATGAGAGGGATGAAGATGATGAGAGGGATGGAGATGATGAGAGGGATGGAGATGATGAGAGGGAAGGAGACAATGAGAGGGATGGACATGGTGAGAGAGATGGAGATGGTGAGAGGGATGGAGATGGTGAGAGGGATGGAGATGATGAGAGGGATGGAGATGGTGAGAGGGATGGAGATAATGAGAGGGATGGAGATGATGAGAGGGATGGAGATGATGAGAGGGATGAAGATGATGAGAGGGATGAAGATGATGAGAGGGATGGAGATGGTGAGAGGGATGGAGATGGTGAGAGGGATGGAGATAATGAGAGGGATGGAGATGATGAGAGGGATGAAGATGATGAGAGGGATGGAGATGATGAGAGGGATGGAGATGGTGAGAGGGATGGAGATAATGAGAGGGATGGAGATGATGAGAGGGATGGAGATGATGAGAGGGATGAAGATGATGAGAGGGATGGAGATGGTGAGAGGGATGGACATGATGAGAGGGATGGACATGAGAGGAATGGAGATGATGAGAGGGAAAGAGACAATGTGAGGGATGGAGATGATGAGAGGGATGGAGACGATGAGAGGGAAGGAGACAATGTTGATGATGTAAGGGATGAAGACGCTGTTGATGACAGGGATTGGTGAGGGATGGAGATGGTGTGAGGAATGAAGATGACTCAGGGATGGAGATGATGAGAGGGATGGAGACGGTGTGAGGGATAGAGATGATGAGAGGGAAGGAGACAATGAGAGGGATGGACATGGTGAGAGAGATGGAGATGGTGAGAGGGATGGAGATGGTGAGAGGGATGGAGACGGTGTGAGGGATGGAGACGGTGTGAGGGATGGAGACAGTGTGAGGGATGAAGATGATGGGAGGGATGGAGATGGTGAATAGATGGTGAGAGGGATGGAGACGATGAGAGGGATGGAGACGGGAGGGATGGAGACGTCTCCATCCCTCTAATCATCAATATCGTCTTCATTCCTTACATCATCAAAATTGTCTCCATCCCTCTCATCATCTCCAATTCTCCATCCCTCACATCGTCTCCATCCCTCTCATCATCTCCATCCCTCACATTGTCTCCATCCCTCTCATCACCTCCATCCCTCACATTGTCTCCATCCCTTTCATTATCAATATCGTCTCCATTCCTCTCATCATCTCCATCCCTCACCAATCCCTCTCATCATCTCCATCCCTTACATCATCAACATTGTCTCCATTATGTATTATGCCACGTTGTGGAAATGCAATTTTATTTTTGTATTCATTATTTATTTATAGTATGTATATATTTACAGGTACACAAGATGAGATATAAATTTGTTAACCCCCAGCCCCCCCCCCCCCCCAAAAAAAAAAACAACATAACAACCTAACATGCAGATGACACGCCACACCATTCCTTGTGTTGTGGTATTGGTACGTATTATTTCATATGCAATTTACAAGGCAAAAAAAATCTAAATAAATAAAGTTAAAACAATTAAATAAAAATGAGGACATGTTTGAAAAACACACATAATAGCAATAAACATTATTTGTTTATGACTCCAAGATACAAATTCCAACAATATGACGTCAAGCTGACTCAAAATAACAATTGATAAGCAGGTGTAATCGTGTATTAATTTTATGCCACGTTGTGGTAATGCAATTTAGTTTTTTTATTTATTATTTATTTATAGTATACATATTTATACAGGTACACAGATATCAGTTATAAATCTGTTAACCCCCAGCCCCCCCAAAAAAAATTGTAACATGCAGAAACCAGTACAGATGACGCGCCACACCATTCCTTGTGTTGTGGAATTGGTACGTGTTATTTCATAAGGCAAAAAAAAACCTAAATAAATTAAAAAAGTTAAAATTAAATAAAAATGAGGAAAAAATGGCACTTATTCGAGATTATTTCAAGATTTATGAGAATGGAAAATGGACACTTATTGCAAACGAAAATGGGAACATGCCGAAGGAAAAGGGGCACGTGTCAAAAATA